CTTGCAGCTGTACCAAGGAGTCCATCATCTGCGTGGGCTCTTCCTGGGTGCCCAGGATCGTGCCGGGCGACATCAGCTCCCTGTGAGTGAGTGGGACCCCTCCAGTCCCCGCCCCACCCTGCGCCCGCCGCCGCCGGGGAGTTGCCTCCGGCGCTGGGACAGCGCGACCGCGACCCCGCTTCCCGGCCTCTTTCTCCGCGCTTGGGTGGGGGCGCGCTGTGGGACGTGGGTGGAGTCTCGGGCCCAGGGGAGGGTGGAGGGAGCCCGAGACCCAGAGCCTGGGAGCCCAGCCCAGCCCCCTGTGGCAGTGTTTCTTAAAGTGTGGCCCGCGGGCCAGCTGCATCAGACCCACCTGGGGGAGCTCGTGCCAATGCAGATTTCCGGGCCCGCGTTGAATGAAGCAGGGTCTCAGGAGTGGAACCTTGGCTCCACTTGGAGTCTGCATGTGGCGTCCCAGGTGATTCTGGGGTGCGTTAAAGTTTGAGAGCATGTGGAGGGGGGAGGGGTGGTTGTGTAGGGGCAGGAATGTGCCCCCGAGCCTGACTGGAGTGAGTGTAAACAGGGGAGCGATGAGGCCTCACTGTCCCACCTCGCGCCTGGGGCGGTGGTTTACACCGTGGCCTCCTCCCGACCGGTCCACACCGCAGGTCCGGAGGGACCCGAGCACAGGCATGCAGCCTCAGGAAGTGGGGGGCCACCTCATGAGGCCCTGAAGAGGGGAGCACTTCGCTGGGCAGAGCCTAGGGCACCCAGGCCAGTGGCCAAGTGCCGGAAGATTTCTTGCCCTGAGTTCACAAGGGCTTCTTGCCCCCTCTCCCTAGCACACATTAAGTTGGCCGCTTTTTCAGCCTTGGAGGAATTAACGGGAAGGGCCCCACCTTATTTCTTCACCTGCTAAGTGATGCCTCCAACCTGCCCTCACACAGCCCCGAAAGCCCCACAGCCAGGTCCCATTGACAGTGGAAGGGGCTGTTGGGCTATATCTTTACTGCTGGGAAAGGTTTCCTGCGGAAAGAACTTCCTCCTTCCAGGCCAAGGTGCTGGGGTGATGCCCACCCAAACACAGAGGCAGGGAGTCCCGGGGGTGAAGTTCTTCATGTCCTTCTTACTGCACTCCCCTGCCTCCCACCCCAGGCAAGGTGCAGGGCTGAAGGGATTCTCATTTGCATTTACAGAAACTCCGGAGGGTCTGGCCAGCAGGAACCGAGAGCCTTTTTGATTCCTAATGTTGCTAAGTCAAGTGACAGGGAGGATTCCAGAAATTAGAATTCCCCTTGTTAAATGCTTTAGAACGGCAGCTGCTTAATTGCTCTGCATGTTAACTGAAGTAATGTTGAAATAATGTATTGAGGTCCTGCTGTGGCCAGAAAGGATAGGGGACCTGGTGGCACAAACAGTCAAGCCGCTTGCCCCCGCCTTGACCATTATGTCTGGCAGATGGCATTGCCTCCTACCGCACATTCCAGTTCAGGTGTCTCTTGGGTTTTTCCCCAAGGCTTTCACAGTGCATTTAACCAGAGGTGCTCTGAGTGTCTTTCAGAGATGTGTTCCCAAGGGGAATGCTTAAACCTTCCCCGGAGTTTCCCCGGCCAACGTTAATGCTGTGTCTACACAAACAGAATCCTGGGCAGAGGTGAAGTAATTATCCATTTTCAGCCAGGGCCTCCTGTAGTTCAGAGAAGGAAGGGAGGGGATTGATTTAAACTTGCTGAGATAATGTCTGTGGAAGGAGCTAGACTGATGGTAAAGGCTTCTATTATTCAGACTAGTTTTCATATTGATCCAGTTCGTTGGAAAATGGCTTGACTCTTCTCATTTCTACCCCTGAGAAGCCCCCGCTGGTTGACGATTTTAAGCCTCATTTTTGAGTGGAGGAGTTTGAAATACAGGTGGAGAATATGGCCGGTTGCCCATCCTGCGATCACTTCTGAAAGAGACCTAGGCCTTGTTTTGCTTCTCTTTTGCCCGCAGGAGCCTGGTAAATGGAACGTTTTCCGAAATCAAGGACCGAATGTTTTCCCACCTGCCTTCCCTGCAGCTGCTGTGAGTATGGGATGTTCTCTCTGAAAATGGGGCCCCCGGAGGTATAGACCTGGGAGGAACCATCCCTGCCCCTTTGGTATCAGTCCTTCCTTAAATACCCCCAATAAATCTCAGTGTTAGCTTCCCCTGTGGTGTCCCCACCTGACTGAATCTCAGGCTCTTTGCTCAGTGTCTCCTTTTGGCCCATGTTTTCCTCCAGGACTTATCATAGATCCCAACACCCGTGTTTGGCAACAGGAGACGTGATGACATTGAATGATGACCCAAATTTCACCTAAATGAAGCGTTTTCCAAACACCTCACTTTAAAAGAAAACCTGCCTTTTACACTCTCGCTGTTGGCTCTGGAAATAGAAGTATTTTTCATTGACTGAGGATATAAGCTATCAGGCAGCATACTATCCATTTATATGGAAAATGTTATCTGATCATCTGATCAGCCCTACAAAGAGAGTATTTTTAGCTCCCCATTTGACAGATGAGAAAATTAAGGCTCAGAGGAGTTAAGTAACTTGTCCAAAATCCCAGCCGCTTTCTAACCCACACTTGTAACTGCTCTGTATCCAGCCACTCTTGGCGAGAGCTCATGTCATGCCTGGCATCCCAGTCCCGTTATTGTTTGCTGATGAAAAGAAATGTCCAAAAAGCAGTTTTCAAAAGCAAGTCAGTGATAGGCAAAGTCATGAGCACATAGCTCGTTCTGTTTATTCTGTTTCTTAAATTTGAGAGGATGTTAAAATCAAGCAACGTATTCCAGAAAACATGTGAGGGATGGATCACTTCTCATCCTAAATAAAGTTAACGTGGATAGTTCTGTTCTTGAAATATTATGGACCTGCTTCTGACCTCGTACTTAACATTTTAAAAGCTGTCACTTTTTGGAAATTGTGGTTCTATTAAAATATACTTTCCATATGCGGGAGACACAATTTCAGGCATTTCACCAAATAGACTCAAGTGGTGACGATATAGATTCTGTGAACTTTTACCAAAGAAGCTTACGTGGTGACTAATAGGAAACTATGTGCTGATAAAGAGACTTCTGAAGATTTCTTAAACTTTTTTTTTTTTTTTTTTTTTTTTTTTTTTTTTTTTTTTTTTTTATTTCTCATGGGAATGTATAATATGGTAGAAAGGAGTTTTAGTTTTTTCAGTTTTAATTTTTGTGGTCTCAGCTGTGTGACTTTGGTCAAGTCACTTCTCTGGGCACACATTTCTCTGAAAACAGAGTTGGGTTAGGTCCTTTTAGATCTCTGATTCCATGGTGGCTCAGGCATGGCAAAGCATTGGCTGGCCATTTAGTTGTGCTGAGCGTTGGCATGTTTTGAGAGAATTTACTGAGACCCACGGGGGGTGGGGTGGAGCAGTGGGGTGACCCAAAAATCTAGCCAAAAGGACTCCACTTGCAATTGCCTGCCGGCATCTGCGAGTTGGGCTGTGCACCTATGGAGCCAGGCTTGGGCTGCAAAGAGCCCGTTTTTGCCGTGGATCAGAATGTGGCGAAAGAAAACAGAAAGGGGCTTCACTGTGTGGTTCCAGGTATAAATCTCTGCATTGAAATCTGTCCTGTGTTTTCAGATTGCTGAATTCTAACTCATTTACAGCCATCCGGGATGATGCTTTTGCTGGACTGTTTCATCTCGAATACCTGTAAGTTTTGGGCTTTGTCTGTTTGCTGAGCGTTGGGTATGTCCATCGAATCATTCTATTGCTGTCCAAGCAGGAACAGCATCTCTTAGAGAGCTTAGGGGCGGACAAAATGGAGGACACCCCACTCTCTTTTCAGCCCTGACCTTTTATAGTTTACTTGTGTATAAACATGCTGGGACAGGAGGAGGTTGGAGACAAAGTGGGTGAAAGCAAACAAAGGAGGAAAGATATTCACTCATTCTCTGCTGACATTTAATTTGGCATGGACTAAGCACAATTGGAAATTGCGTTGGATATTTTTACCTCTCATAACTAGGCATGGATTTGCTGATCGGCCAGAAATAAAGCTGAAGGCTTCTGAGGGTTATTTATTTTTAAATAAAGTCTCCCTATATGGGGATATAACTTCACGTTTTGAATTTGGCTATCCTATTTCCCTTTCGCAGTATCTCCCATGAGCTGCTGATGAGAGTCTAATTGTATTTTTTTCCTCTTTAAAAGAAGAGGTTTTGTTTTCTTTTTGGACGTGCAGGTTGTTCCCCCTGGCAGAGAGCTTTGCCCTTGTTGTGATTTTGTTTCCCGGTTTCTTTTCTGATTTGCCTTTCCCCCCTTTCATGTCTTTTCGCCTTTTAAATGCTTCCATCCTTGCCTTTTGTAGCTTTGTAATAATATTAGTCCTGCTATCAGATGGGATTTCCTTATTCAGCATTCAGAGGGATTTTTAAAGGCTGGTCTCCGCTTTCTTATCTGAGGTTAACAGGTAGATGTTTGAATTCTAAACGCATTGTGGGTCTAAGAAAACTCTGCTGATTTTATGTCCTTAGGAAAGGTGTCTCTGAAGGAATTCTTTCTCCAGAATACACATGATATGTAAACTTTCATAGCAGCCTGATAGTATACAGAATATGGAAAGCGGGTTATGACTGAAGTGCTAAGCCTAACTACGTTCTGTCAAAGCACTTGAACAGCTGATGGGGGTAGCACATGTAAAGCTCTCAGTTTTCTCTTGTGAGCAGTTCATCTTACTGCCAAGGTTACTGAGGGGGAAGTCCGCTTATCAGCCTATACCGAATTCTCGTACTCAAGAGACCCCTGATTTAAAACAAATAAGACATCAAATAAAGGTCAGTATAAGAATCAAGAACTATTTTACCAACTAATGGCATCGTGTTGCAAAGCCTCTCCCTTGGACCATCTCATCAAAGACCCTCTTACATTTGATGTAATGGGATGCCATAAACTGAAATTTAGTTCTCTGTGGTCCTAGGGAATAGTCACAGTGCATTCGCTTTATGTATTTCCCATGAAGACTTCAAAGCACAGTCCGGGTTATTATTGCAAGGGCCTGTGTGCAAGCCCTAAGCCATTTTAGCACAGAGCAAGAAGTTTGGCCCATCCTCAACTTCATTATGTTTCCTATTTCCTAGTGGCTTAGAGATCTTGAGAGAATTCCTGCCTTGTTACCCATTTGCTCAGAGATTAGGCTGTATGGGACATGCTGAACTCGAGTTTGCCTGAAGCCGAGCTTACTGGAATTCTCCCCCAGCAAAAATTTTAACGCAGAGACGTAAAACAATGGGCTCCCCTCAAGAGACAAGGATATTAACAAGAGTGTTAATAGCCAGGCGCTGTAAACTCTAAGAGGGTTTGAGTGGGGAGAATGTCTGGAAGCTTTCCAGCCTTGCAGAGATGGAAGAATTTCTTGCCTTTGTATTGGGCTTTTTTCTCATCTTTCCCCCCAAGATGTCTCCCCCCACCCCCCCAGCCATGTTGCCAGCTCTGAATGTGAGGACTTCCATGCTGCTTCCGGAACGAGCGTAGGACACACACTCGTGTGGACGCATTCTTGCACACAAACCTGGCTCCCACTTGGAATCTGGTGTAGCTGACCTAATCCTTCAGAGAAGGATTGCTTTATTTATTTATTTATTTATTTATCTATTTATTTATTTATAAAACATGAATGTTTTATTTACTTTTATTTATTTATTTGTGTTTTTCAGAGATGAATGTTTTAAATTCATAAGTGCTTTTAGAATTTGTTTTGGGGGCAGCTGGGTGGCGCAGTCAGTTAAGCATCCGACTTCGGCTCAGGTCACGCTCTCTTGGTTCACGAGTTCGAGCCCCACGTCCAGCTCTGTGCTGCTAGCCTGAAGCCTGCTTCAGATTCTGTGTCTCCCTCTCTCTCTCTGCCCCTCCCCGCTCTCCACTCACACATTCTTTCTCACTCTAGAATAAATAAACATTAAAAAAATAATAAAAGTGAACGTACTCCACTTAAAAAAGAATTCATTTTGAATATCGTTTAGAGAGATTAAGTGGAGAAAATTTGGTGGAATGATACTGCTGTTCTCTTTAGGTTCATTGAAGGGAACAAGATAGAAACCATTTCAAGAAATGCCTTTCGTGGCCTTCGTGACCTGACTCACCTGTAAGTCCTATGAAACGTGTTGCGAGATGCTTGTTCTTTCTTGACTGTTTTGTCCATATTGTAACATTCTCTCAAGGAAACTAAGTTCCAGGTTGCCCGAAGTGTTTTGTATTGTTGATCAGACAGCAGTCCAGTGTGGTTACTCATGCACTCAGCTTAATTATCTTTTCCGTTACCCTGAATTGCCGTTATGGGCCACATGACAGCATGTGAAACGAGGAGCCGCGAGGGCCCTCTGTCCAGTGATGAAGAAGGTAGGAAGGACACTATCACGTATAACACACCTGCTGTGTGCCTGCGTGCCTGGTGAGCCTTCTCTTCGTTACCTTTGTGAATCTCCATTTTACAGATTTGGGAACTGAGGCTTCAGTTAACTCACTGAAGAATGAATGCAGGATCAAAATTTGGATGAAATGGAATAGAGACGTTTTTGTGGTTCCTCTAATTTGAATGCAAATAGCTTTTTCTTTTATGTTGGATTAATCTGCAGCTTAAGCTAAGCTCTCTGGCTTCTTTAATAGCTTTCTGGAGGAAAAAAAGTTAAACACAAATTGATTTGAATTGCCATATCAGAATGAGGCAAGTACACATACTTGGCATGTTTAGAAAACTGGAAAAAAATTGCAGCTGTGTTCATGAAAATGTAAAAATAGTCGTTTTCTTGGTAAGAACCATTTATTAGCCAGGAATCAGGTCCTGTGTGCATGATAGATACTTTGTGATTGAGTAAGATAACATGTCTCATCTCTGTGATAAAAAGAAAATTGGGAGATTAGGAAGATTCTGAATAGGGGTGTTGGGCAGGGGTGATAGTGCCTTCAGCAGGTGCAACCCTGACCGAAACACATCGAAAGAGATGATCATTTACCGCAAGCCCTGATACAGGCAAAGGTGTCAGTCAGCAGGCTCGACGAGCACTTGATTCTGGAATCCTACCAAGCAGAAGCCCTGTCTGAGTTAAATAAACCTCCTAAAGTAAGCGGATAAGGGAGGAGTGCAGGAGGTCCAAACGTCTGGATCGGCACCACCGATCCTGGAGAGTGTCAGCCTCATGTTGTCATTATTGCCCCAGGTTTTCCTTCTTTCTGTAAAAGCCTCATTTTGTTGTTGCTGCTGTTGTTTTGTTTTGTTTTCAGATGGAACCCAGACACCAAATCCCCACATTCCTGTAGAGGTTCAGGTCATGGATTTGGAGTCACATAGACTTGGGTCCAAATCTCAAGGCCACCATTTATTAACGTTGCCTAGCCTTTGTGGACCACAGTTTCTTCATCCTGGAGGTGGGGGTGATTATACTGACCCCACGGGATTGCTGCATAGAGTGGGTTAATGCTCGCTTGCAAAGCATCCAGCCCATTAGCCGTAGTAAACGTGCAAAGTGTGCTTGGAGCTGCCGTCATTATCATGGTCAACAGCAACAGCACGGCCCCCCTGCACTCATTAAGAAGTCTCCATTTTCTCCATGGACTGCTGAGTACCCTTGGCAGTTTGAGTGGCCAGACAGGGTCTGCTAAGAAGACAGCTGTGGGTGTCTGGAGAGGAACAGCTGTGACCAGATTGATCTGGTTCCCAGAAGTCAGGAATGAGAGGCTTTGCTTTCGAGCAGAAGCTCTGGCCAGATCACGAACGTAAGCAAAAAGCCACGTGACTGAGTTAGCCCAGGTGTCAGCTTTCCTTTGACCCATTGACTACGGGTCCTTGGTCTGAAAACAGGCGTGACCATGCAGCAATGTGCACGTGTATTTGCAGATCTTGGCACAGGTTTGCTCAGAGATGCACGGACTTCTATGCGGGTAGATGGGTGTACATGCTGCGTGTGCACGTAACTGTGCGCACGCAGTGGTTATTTGTGCACGCAACCACATGTGTATAAAATGTGTGCATGTGTGTTGAGAGGCACCTTCTATTCTGTGTGACGAAGAGCCCTTTGCTTGGGTCCGGCGTACTTCTGATGCATTCAGGTGCCCGTCCCAGTGCATGCTGCCATTCTACAGTCAAGCCTGTGGAGCCTGGCACTCCCCAGCTCTCCAACCTCATGTCCTTAAATGTCCTCAGAACACTGATCTCTCCGTGGACCCCGGTGTGCACCCAACCCATCCCATTCCTGGGCTTTTGCTCACATCCTGTCCATTGCCTAGGATGTTGTATTTTCTACCTTAGACCTCCTGTAATCTGCTCTTCCTTCAAAGTCCAGATTAAGTTCTCTCTCCCCCACGGAGCCGTTCTTGATCTCCCCTCTGTAACCTCCTTCTTGGTTGCACATACCCAACCCTGTAAGTAGCCCTGGCCGTACTGGTTGGTACTGTTTCGTGATGTCAGTTTTATCTCCCCAGCTGCATTGAAAGCTCCCTGAGGACAGGGCCCACGCAGATCTTTCATTAGCCCTGCTCTTCTCCCAGCGTCTAGCACAGGGCTGAAAGCTAGCAGCACATCCCTGGTCGATCCCTGGTGTGATTCCCTGGTTGATCAATGGGTTCCTTACTGAGCTGGATTTTCCACATATACTCTGCCTCTGGGCAAGTCAGGTGACTTCTAAAGCTGACTCCGTAGGTTGGAGACGTAGGTAGGAGTTAAAGCATTTAATACTTTGTTGAAAGAATGGACCAGTCCTCCCACCTGCCCCCAGTTTTTGTCAACTTCTAAAGCAAGGAGGTTTGCACACCGCTTCTCCAAAACTCACTCCTATGCTCAAGGAAGTCACTAGATGGAATTTGCTTAAGTATCTGGTTTGTATCTTTTTATGAGTTTTTCCAGCACCTACAGACTCACCTTCTTGTTCTCAAGAAACATAGATCAGGTTTCAAAGCATTGAAGAAGCAGTACCAATCTGTAACTAAGATCTAGGACATTTATTTTTCAGCAGTCCTGCAAAGCCCAGGGGACAGGTTGCTGTTAAGTAGTTTCAGAAATGAAGTAAGTGCCATAAATTTGTAGGCAAAATGAAATGGAAAGGGAGATGGTATGCACTTAGTGTGACTGGAGTGGATAGTCCATCTAAATAATTTGGCTTTCTGAAATTGAATGCTTGGAAAGGTTGCTAAACATTCTACATTTTTGGGCTTCGAACTTGCCATATATTCTTATCACTTGGGTACAGTACATTTCAATTAGCTAAAAATGTCTAGCTAAATAATTCACCTTTAATTAGCTAAAAGAATTTTTGGGGCTTTCCAGAAAAAGTGACCATCAGCCAGTAAAAAAGCAAAACAAGCACCTTTTTTTTTTTTTTAATTTCAGAAAGCTACTGCCCGACAATGTTCAGCCTGATTATCTATTCAGCCTGTTTTCCAACATCTTTAGAAATGTACCCCTAAATCATGTAGGAAAGAAAGGTAAAATAATACATGAAATTGCATTTTAATCCATTTGTGGTTACGTAGGCAGGAAGGGACATAATTGTGAAATGTTCAGGTTTCCCCATATTCTCTTGGTATATTGCAGCAAGAATGTTTGGGTTACACATGGGCTCGAAGCTTTCTCTGCGAGCCGCTGGGTCACTGTGATGCACACAAGGCTAATTTCATATATATGTTTTAAAGGGGTTGGTGCTGAATCGCGTACGTGTTTATCATTTATATGTCTTGCTGTTTGCACTCACGTGAATAAAAGAAAACAAAAGTGGGGCGCCTGGGTGGCGCAGTCGGTTAAGCGTCCGACTTCAGCCAGGTCACGATCTCGCGGTCCGTGAGTTCGAGCCCCGTGTCGGGCTCTGGGCTGATGGCTCAGAGCCTGGAGCCTGTTTCCGATTCTGTGTCTCCCTCTCTCTCTGCCCCTCGCCCGTTCATGCTCTGTCTCTCTCTGTCCCAAAAATAAATAAACGTTGAAAAAGAAATTAAAAAAAAATAAATAAATAAAAGAAAACAAAAGCAGGCATCAGTCTCTTGGCTGACTCACGTTAGAGCACGATGCCCTGGGGAGAAGCACAGGCTCGATGTACATCTTTTCAACACCCAGCATCTTTCTACGTCAACAGCCCAGCACCACGGACATTCATCTTCAGCAGGATGATGACAGGGCACTGCATGATCCTGAATCATCAGAAAAAGCGTTGATGGTAGTCATTCTTCCTGGAGATGAGGAACAGACTAGGACATTTTAGATCTTCAAAACTAAGAGCAATGCAAAATGCTTTCTGGTCAACCTTCGCTAATGAGAGAAGAAACCGATCACAATCGGTTGCTCCCTAAACACTGTAGTCCGTTGAAATTTTATATTATCATGGGGTTAGAGCTGAGAGTCTTTGTGCAAAAGAGTATTTACTGAATCCTTTCTTAGACTCACAAGTAATAGAATTTGCGTAGATGGATTGCGAGGAAACTTCTTGGACAAGACTGTACATCTTTTCTTTGATCATTCTCACCTCAGTGCTTCATTCATTCATTCATTCACTCACTCAGTAAAGGCTTCCTGAGTACCTACTATGTGCCAGGCACTGCTTGGATGCCGTGATACAGATGTGGACAAACACAATCTCTGCCCTCGTGTTGCTTATGTCTGGGGAGAATACACAGCCATAAACAGAGAATTAAAATATGTGGTACACGAAGCGACAGTCGTGCGGTGAAGGTCAACCGAGCAGGGAAGGGAGCTGGTAGAGGTCAGGGAAGTGGTGATCAGTGAGGACAGACCTAAAAGGGATGATGGCGTGATCTGTGTGGGTACCCACAGGAAGATCGTTCAGGCAGATGAATCACAAGTTCAGGGGCCTCAGGGTGGGAGAGTGCCTTATCCATTTGAATAGCAAAGGGGCCAGCGTGGGTATTCGAGTAGTCAGAGATCCAGTCTCACAGTTAAGTGGGAGTGGGGGTAACTATAGACAATAGTCTTGCATGACATCAAAGGGACTTTGGCTTTTATTCTGAGAAATATAAGATGCCATCCAACATTTGACAAATGTATATATAAAGAGCTTTTTTTTTTTTTTTTTTAATTTTTTTTTCAACGTTTATTTATTTTTGGGACAGAGAGAGACAGAGCATGAACGGGCGAGGTGCAGAGAGAGAGGGAGACACAGAATCGGAAACAGGCTCCAGGCTCTGAGCCATCAGCCCAGAGCCCGACGTGGGGCTCGAACTCACGGACCGCGAGATCGTGACCTGGCTGAAGTCGGACGCTTAACCGACTGCGCCACCCAGGCGCCCCAAAGAGCTTCTTTTAAAAACAAAGCAAAAAGTACATTGTACTCCAGCATCTATCATGCTGTCTTTGTGTCACAAAACTTATTTCTTTATCTCAGTATCAATGAGCAAAGCCAGAAATTGAGCCATGTTGTGCTGAAGAGGTTTAGAGAGAGCTCTGTTTTAAAGCATTAGCTTTGTTTCAGGGGCTTTGGAGCGACAGGGCCTGAGGATAATAACCACATTAACATATGATTTTCTTATTCTAGTTCTCTGGCCAATAACCACATAAAAGCACTCCCAAGGGATGTCTTCAGTGATTTAGACTCTCTGATTGAACTGTGAGTAAGGAAAATGCTTGTGTCCAAGTTAATCACGTGTCATTGTGTCCAAGTTAACCATGTCTTTAATGCCCCCTCTCCCCCTCACTGCATTTCTTTTATGTTGCAGTCAGAAATTCGTGACAGGGGCGCCCAGGTGGCTCCGTCAGTTGAGCATTTGACTCTTCATGGAGGCTCACGTCCTGCATGTGGTCATGAGCTCAAGCCCCTGAAAGGAGCGTGGAGTCCGCTTGGGATTCTCTCTTCCTCTGTCTCTCTGTCCCTCCCCCATGCATTTTCCCTCTGTCTCTGTCTCTGTCTCTCTCTCAAAATAAATAAACATTTAAAAAAAAGAAATCAGTGACAAAGAGTGCATGGTGGGAAACAATATATAGTTGGTATTGTGTTAGGTCTTGCCATGTTGGAATACACTTAGTAGCGTTAGGTCATTGGCAAATTAAGCTCGCCAGGCGTGAGGTTTCCTTTTCCAAGGTAGCGTATCCCTCTGCTGTATCTTCTAGTGTTTGGCACTTCTTACCGGACGTTGTTCCACAAGATCTTAATGTTTCGATTGTGTTCGTGAACGCTACCTTCCTGTAATGTCCTGGCTTTGTGAGAGTCTGCATCTGTGGGGGGAGGGGGGAACGTTCTTCTGTCTACCCTCCCCCATTTCCAGCCTGGCATGGTGACCGTTTCAGGAGAGTTTGGAGAAATAGTGGTATGTCAGCTCCGAGAGCTCTCTGTAAGTTACAGTTAAAATCATGGGCACTGAAGATCATTAAGTAAAGTCAGTGATGCGCACAAGAAATAGGATGCATTAAATACAACATTCTTTTAATTTCTCTTTTTTTGGGGGGGGTATGAAATAGATCAGGATGTTAAATCATCGTATTCCTGCTGAAACATTTCAGGCATGTCCATTTCTCCAGGTATGTGTTTGTGTTTTGTTTTGGATTTTAGAGACTTAAGGGGCAATAAATTTGAATGTGACTGCAAAGCCAAGTGGTTGTATCTGTGGTTGAAGATGACGAATTCCACGGTGTCTGACGTCCTGTGCATCGGTCCCCCCGAATATCAGGAAAAAACGCTAAATGATGTGCCGAGCTTCGACTACGAATGCACAACCACAGGTATTCAGAACCGCTCTCGTGAAAGACTCTTACTGAGAGGAATCCCTTTGTGTTTCGTTTCTATCATCCACAGGAACCAGAGAAAAGTGGGTGTAAACGTTTTCTATCCAAATTATTTTAGGTGACATTTAAGCGTTCTAAAGGAAATGAACTGATGTGGTCAGGAAAACATCTCAACAGTTCAGGAGGATTTTTTGTTAAGTGCCCTGGCTTGAATTGTGATTCTTTACAAAATTCAAATTTCTCTGAAGGTTTTTTTTTTTTTTTTTTTTTAAGGGCCAAACTATGAACTGGCAAGTTGGGCATAAGAACATTTGCAAATGAGGTTTCACGGAAAGTCCGTGCAGAGAGGGCCACATTCCTGCTGTCTTGATTGACTGTTTTCACTGTTCCCTTGATTGAATAATAGGAAGTTTACTGAACGTGCAGCTAATAAATATGAGACTTTAAAGTCCACACATTGCTTTCGTAGTTCCCTGTAAAAAAGAGGTAACTGGCTGTGTTGTAACCAATGGCAAAATGGAAATAGACTTGAACAAGTAGTTATCTAAAGAAAAAAACCCACATTGAGGAAAAATGTAAAGGAAGTTTGATTTTGCACTTTTCCAGGACCTGCCTCGGGGTTTCCATGTATACATTTTACAGGTTATGAGATAAAATTAAAATACTAACTGCCTCCAGTGTCACACCTTGTAGAGAGCAGGTGAGTGCCTCCGTATGAAAGGCTTAGGTGGAGTCTTCTCCAGCTTCTGAAGCCAGATTATAAAGGAAAACAGATCAATCCACAGTATGAAACCTGCTTACCAAACTTACAAAAATAAACATTTAGGCTGAGAGTTGATATCTACAAAGCCTCGAGGCATGTCAGTGGGAACAGCAGGAATGAGAACTCAGAAAATAGTTACAGAAACTCAGAGGCAAAAAAAACCCTCCGAGAACAAAATGTGACGTTTAGGCCAGCCCTACTGCTGCCCTCCAAACAAATAAACAAACAAGAACTCATAAAGTAAAAACTGTTTCCAGATATCTCTGTAAATAAGGAACTTTACAAGTTCACGTGTTTTTGAAAGAAAACCGCAAGTCTTGTGGGATGCCCTTGTCTTCCGTCGTTGAACAGGAGCCTATTCAGCTGTGTAATTGGCAGGTGCCCTTTGCCAGCTGAGGCCACTAGCAGGTTATTTATTATATTGTAGAGCAGTGCAATAAATCAGAGGTCATAGTCAATGACATTTGCACCAAAAGGTGGCATTCAAGGCCATTTGGTGTGAAATGCCAAACTACAGCTCACCGGGGCTCCTTTTCGCCTCTTCTCCAGTTTTTCTGGCGAGTTCTCTGAACCCCCAGGTGAAGTGAGCAGCTTTCCCATTGTTCTCTTCACACCTGCCTGAAAACTCTGCCAGTCTCTGGGAGGAATAGCATGGGTATCGAGGATCTGGGGACAGGGAATAATTTATATGAGAGAACATCATTTCTGACCTTAGAGCCTTGGGGACGGTTATGGAAATGATCTGGGCTCTGAGAATTGTCATAGGAATAGACGGGGCTTGGAACCAACCTTGGTCCTAAACCCAGAACCCATGATGCAGCATGAGCCCCCTAACACATTTTAGGGCATCCTCTCTCATATATATATTTGCCTTTGCTAAAAAGCTTCCTACTAAGATTTAGATAGTCGGCAGTCCTCCCTGGTAACAGGGAAGTGATGATTCTGTCTTTGCTACTGTCTTATCCCTTTGAGACTCATGAACAAATGAGCTTTTGCTTATAGTTTTCTCCATCAAGAAAAAATGGCGGAACCAAGTTGTGTCCACCCCCAGGGATAGTCCCTGCCTTGTGCCTTGTAAGGACTAAGTCAATACATTCTGAGGTTTTTTGTTTTGTTTTGTTTGGGGGTTTTTTGGTTCCTATCTCCTGCTCATATCAAGGCTCATTCTTTGGTGCTTTATTCAAGGCTGGAAGGGAAATGTGCAAGGATGATGGCAGATGGAAGGAAAGCCAAATCTGAGAGTCCTGGTACTATTATGGCATCCTCACTGCATTTTAGGGAAGAAGCACATCGTCTGAGGGCATTGCTTTTTCTCTTAGCTCAGATTTTCAGGAAAGGAGTAAATTCTTCAGGTGGAGGAAGGAGAGGAAGATACTGTTACCATTGTGTTCTGGCACCTGGGTGTAATGAACATGGCAGAACCACCGCCGGACTGTTTCAGCTTCTAGATTAATCACAGTCTTTCCATAACCCTCTGCTTCAAGTCTATTTTTAACCGCCTCAAAAATCCCTGTTACCTATTCATGATTCCCCATGTTAGGAGGATAATTCACTAAATTCCTTGGAGTGAATTTTGCATCCTAATTGTCCTGTTAGCTTCCCTATTTCTGGGCTGATGAAAAGCAAAGAGAAATAATGCATTAATGTGCAGTTTCTCTCCCAATAGGATCAGCATCATGTATAATTTATTTTCTGCAAGGGCTATAAATAGCTATGTAAAAATCTGTTGATTCCAGTGGGAGCAAGGCCTAAATTGTGAGAATCCCACTGACATCATGAACTCAATCCAATGTGAATGGGAGTGGCAGCACGTTTTGCAGAGAATGCCATGAAGACTTTACCACCAGCAAATTGATGTCATATCAGTATGTGTATTGTTGGAGAGCTTTGCATAACGAATGTGCTTTTGCCGTTCATGAAAGACGAATTAAAATGGGGATGGGAGAAGATCTTAAAATTCCTCGAGCCCGCCCTCCACCCCTACACATAGTCATCAATCATTTTCTTTCAGACATTTCTTCCTTTTCCTTCCTCCTTCTCTTCTGCCTCCTCCTCCTTTTTTTTTGTGGGGGGGGGGTGTTGCGTAGGTAAGGGGGAGAAGGACTCTCCTATTAAGAATCAGATTTATAATTGCAATGATTTAACAGTCTGTGTGGTGCCAGATAGTCAGCATATAGAAAATATTATGAAACCAATGTTTTGGGAAAACAAATGAAAATAGAACCGTTAAAAAGCTAGATTTGTAAAATGCTGTCTAATTTTGGCAGCTCTCTTTCTCTCTGGGATTTTTTTAATGAAAAACGGAAACTTTTGGGTCTGCCCTTTAAACAGCCTGCGGTTTTCAGCGAATGCTGGTGTTTCTGAGACTCGGGGGTGCGGGTGGGGGACGCGGGTTACGGGCAGGGCAGGAGTGTTGGGAGCCTTCGGGGCTTACGTTAGCAGAAGGCGGGCGAGAAGCCGGATGTGTCTGCCTGGTAATGGAGAGCATGGCGCGGTGTTCTTGGAGCCCTTTGCTGGAGCAGACGGTAACTGCCGCCAATTCCCTTTCTCCAGACATCTGCAGGTTGAGTTTTGTGCGCCTTTACTGTTTGCTGCAGCGATGCTGCTATCTGGGGCGGGGGTGGGGGTGGGGGTTGACAGAGGGGTGGGGCTAGCAGCCATTGTCATTCTTCCCAGGGGTTCCGGGGTCACTGTTACACAGTATACGAGGCTCGCCCACGGAGCTACTGCGTAAAACTCCCCAGGGCTCACTCTGTAGGAGGCTCCGTGCTCACACTTAGGCTCTCTTAGTCTCTACCGCAACTTCATGAAATAGGTGTTACCGTCCTTTTACTGATGCGGACCCTGAGGCTCAGGTTTCTTGCTCCAGGTCGCAGAGCTACAAAGACAGGCAGGAACCTAAAGCCTCAGTTCGTCCGGATGCTCCACTCCGGATGAGGGCATCCACTGCTGACACTTGTCCCCACTCTCCGTCGGCCGCTTCTTGCCGTCAGGGTGCAAAGGCGGCCTCCTTTCTGATTCTCCCCCTTCTCCCTGCACCTGTGTGCATCACACGATGACCCCCGACTTCTTCCCCACACAGTTTTCAGAGCGGGCCATGGGGCGGGCAAGGCCAGCCCTCCCACACTTCTAAGCCAGGGAAGCATTTATTATGCACCTCCCGTACACTCAGAATGGGGATAGGGACACCTCCAAAAGTTAATAGGTATTGCGCACTCACTTTGTGGTACGCACAACTCTAAGTGAGTACGAATGATAACATACAATGAGGAGGTTAAATAACTTCCCCAAGGTCACTCAGCAAGGCCGTGGAGTCACAGCTCTGCCATGTTATCTTAGACACCATTAAAATGGACACTTCCTCAAGATACAGCCCAGTGGGGGCTAGGACAGAGGAGGTAGACTGTCCTTTCTCAGACGTCGATTCCGTGTTGATGAAGCACCCACTATGTGCCGAGCCCTGAGATGGGCCTTTCTACCGACACTGTCAGTGTGTCCCTGCCATCAAGCTTGGCAGGTAAGAATCCCTGCCCCCATATTGCACATAAGGAAACTGAGGCCTTGTAGGGGCAAGCACACAGCCCAGAGTCTCAAATGCGGGAAGTGGATTCAGGGGGTCTGACTCTAGGCACTCGTCCCTGTGCCTCCTGCTGCCCTCACTGCCTCAGCCCTGCCCCCGTCTCCCCCGCCCCTGTTACCTGCTCTGCTCAGCCCTGCTCCACTCTTCCCACCTCAATACTCGCTCAGCTCAGCGTCTCTCCCTCCCTTTCCTGCCTCTGCCCCGTCTGCACTTCCTGCCTTTGCTCACTGTTGAGTGGCCTACCCCCTTACAGCCTTTCTCATTTGACCTCTTTCAAGAGGCTTCCGAGTCAGAGTTATTTCTGAAGTGGCTGCCGTAGGCTTGTGCCGTGGGAGGTTCCCGGGAGGGTCGGACCCAGGCCTGACCTCACAAAGCCCTTGGTTCAGGAGGCACAGGACACTGGCTGTGTGGCCCTGGCCAGGCGCATGCCCTCTCTGAGCTTCAGCGTCTGGCCTTGTAAAATGGCCCGGGGCTGTAAGATCTTCCCCATTTCTCCAAATCCAACGCCGAAGTCGCTATGCTGGAGATTCAGTCATCGTGAAGAATAAGATTTAAACGGCAGTGCCTAATATGAATCCAGTGAGTTAGGAAAGAGTCCTGGGTATTGGCTCCAGGAAGGCTTTGCAGAAGAGTTGGGGCTTGTGCAGGCGGGGCTAAGGATGGGTGGGGAGGAGATGGTCAACGCCAGGGTTTTCTCATAGGAAAGACTTCCCTTAGCCAGACGTCCACCATCTTTTTACCAGGGTGCATTTAGCCTGCCAAAAAGCAGCACACATTGAAACATCTCTAGCAGAAGAAATCACTTACCTTAAACTTTATTAGTGTTTTGGTGTGTGTTTGTTTGTTTTTAAATTTCTTCTTCGTTTCTTCTCTGGCTTCCCCACACGCTCACTGTCCTTGTGTCCTGGGGCAAACTCACCCCGTTCCTTGGGAAACTTGTACATCCTTACCAAGATAACACAGTGAGTCAGTGGTAGCTCAGGGGAGCAAAAGGGATAAGGAGTGTTAGCGCTAAATGTTAAGAATACAACACGTGGTCAAATAAGACAGTTCTGTGTGGCTTGAAAATCTAACAGATCTGTAGTAATTGCTCGTTGAGCTGCAGAACACTGTCCAGATCTCAGGCATGGCCACTTCTTACGGCACCGAGTCCAGTAACTGGTGAACACACTGGTTAACTTCCCTGCACTGTGGGCTTTGTAAATTTCTGACACTGTATCAGAGCCTTTGGTGTGGTTTCCGAAACTGCAGTGTGCCCTTCGGGCAGTTTACTTTAAAAGAATTTTTTTAATGTTTATTTTATTTTTGAGAGAGAGGAACAGAGCATGAGCAGGGGAGGGGCATAGAGAGAGGGAGACACAGAATCTGAAGCAGGCTCCAGGCTCTGAGCTGTCAGCACAACCCACTGTGGGGCTCGAACTCATGAACCATGAGCTCATGACTGAGCAGAAGTCAGACACTTAACCGACTGAGCCACCCAGGAGGCCCTGGGGAGTTTACTTTTGGTTTTGAACCTGGAGTGGGGGTGTTTCCCCCCAGGAGTAAGGCAGAGCGTGGGAATATAACAGGGTTATACACAATCGCCTTGGCAGGTAAGCTTGAAAAACTCCACACAAACAAAATGAAACAGGTTTTTTGCTACCAGGCCGGTCCAAGAAGGCTTAGAAAGACAGCATTTCCCAAACCGGTGTGACCACTGCAGCTCTCTTCCCGGAGTAATTTTCATGATCATTTCTGGAATGTTGCTATGGGGTGGTCTTTTGTGGTTTTGAAAGCCAGGTCTCACCGAAATTTGTGTAAAACTTTGAGATCCTGTAGCCAAACGGTGAGCTATTTGTCTCAGAGAAGAGAATGTAGAAGCTGTGCATTCATCATCCTGTACAAGGCAGAGAAGCCTTCTGGAATCAACCAGAATGAAGCACGCTGTGAGGTGTGTGTTACTTCTCTCTGGTCCTCCCTCCTTCCTGGTCCTCTTCACGTCCAATGATGGAAAAGGGTAGAAGGGTGATGGTGGATGATAATTCCCACAAGGGATCTCATAGAGACTTTTTTTTTTTTAACTACCCATTCCCAGATTTTGTCGTTCATCAGACTTTGCCTTACCAGTCGGTTTCAGTGGATACATTCAACTCCAAGAACGACGTGTACGTGGCCATCGCTCAGCCCAGCATGGAGAACTGCATGGTGCTTGAGTGGGACCATATCGAAATGAACTTCCGGAGCTATGACAATATCACAGGTATGTTGTGGCTTTGGTCAATGTATCCCCCTCGTTTCATTGTGGCTGGTGGGCGAAGAAGCATTCTGTCCTCCCCAGGAAGGAAAAGCTGGGCTCTCTGACTTGGTGAGAGTCGCGGAACACATTCCAGCCCGCCCTCGTCTCTCTGATTCTTTCTCGACTTGGTCAGTTATTGGTGAGAACAGAAACTTAGGGTGGTGGTCTTATTTATTGTTGCTGATTCTTTCCAAACGGAGAGGTGATGGGTCGCGTGTTGTAGGAGGGATTTTCCGGTCATGGTGAGAAGTCACCAGAGAATCCCTTAATCCTGATCACTTGTGGCAGCCTAAGACTTCAACAGCTTTTCAGCAGCCCAGTGATACCTTCGACTTTGGTTAAGCTGATTGTTAACGAATATGCTAACACGCACGTTCTCACGCGTACACGTGCACATGCATGCATGCACACGCATGCCCACACTTGCCAGATCCTGGTGGCCGCTGCTTCCTTCTCACAAATACAAACACAGTAAGAATAAATGGCTGTCTAAATTCGTGCCTTTGGGTTGAGACCTAGTTAATGCCTCTTTCAACGCTGTCAGGAACCCATTGTCTTAGCGCTGCTAAAAACGGGCTACTTGCTTTGTAAATACTGGGTAAAGTCAAAATCATCTTTTAGAGACGTCTTGTTTATCAAGTGCAATCTGATAATAACACTGACTTTATAAACAGCACCACAGTGGCCTGTTACCCTGTGAGAGGCTTGCCCTTAGTGGTTCCCGATTTGGAGTTAGAGCAGTGTTTTGCTGCTGCAGCCAGAGAAGCATATCAGGTAGAAATTCCAGATTAGGAGACTCCTAGGAATCTCTCGGGTGCAGCGCGGTTTTGCAGCAGGTGTAGGGAGGCGGAGAGAGTGCCGTTCCCCCCCCTCCAAGAACAGAGACGCTAATGAGCCTAATTTCTGCAGCACTGAGAGGTCTGTGAGACACGCGAGCACCTCCGTAAGCTCAGAAGATGCCACGTCAGATGAGCCTCTGCTGTTGGGCCACCTGGCTTCCTAGTGCTGAGTTCACAATCCCGAGAACAGCCCCTCTGGCTTCAAGTGCACACTCAGCACAGAGCGCTGCAGGTGAACCGAGGAACCCAGAGTCCATGTTCGAGGCAAAAAGGAGGTGGAGGGGTGGGGGCTGCTATCCACATGCTTTTTGCTTCCCTCTTTTTGCAGACTTGGAGGATAGGTGAGGGATGAGAGCTGGCCCCCGTGCTTTGTGCAGGGGGTTCCACACCAGGGCTTGTTGCCAAGGCTGGTCGCGGGCCCGTGAGGTGCCAGGCGCTGGTGTATCTCATTGGAAGCTGGCTGCAGCCCCTTGAGGTATTAGTGCGGGTTGCCTGCCCGCAGGGGGAGGACCAAAGCCCCTTTCAATAGAGAGGCGGCGGACAGATGATAAGGAGCTCAGGTTTTGAAAACGGATGCACGTGGCTTGTACTCCTGACCCCACCAGGTACTAAGAAGTGGCTGTGGCTTCTGAGGCTCAGTTTCCTCATCTGTAAAACGGGCAACACAGGTACTTTATATGGATATTTGTGCGGATTCAAGGAGTGCCAGGCACAGAGCAAGCAGCTCTCAGTGCCGGCTTCCTTCTCACACCTTTGCAGACAAAGAGAGCAGGGCTCAGGCATGTTGAATCACTTTGGGGGCAGAGCTCAGGGCCTGTCACTGATGCATCTCACCCCTTTCCTCTGTCAGGTTGACCTGGGTAGGAAGGGACAGCACGGCCCTCCACTTGCCCTTCTGACAGTCTGCAGCTGGTTGCATCCCGACAGTCGTCAAGTTATTCGTTCATTCATTCATTCATTCATTTGTCCACAATGATTTCTTGAGCACTTACTCTGAGCTAGGCATGATGTAGGTGCTGGGGCCACAGCAGTGAACAGGCCAGATGAATACCTCCACCCCCAACGGGTTTGTACTGTAATGGGAGCGAGAGATAAAAAGAAAGGCAAATAATTATGATACAGATAACACAGCAGATGGCAACACACTGAGAAGGGAAAGGAAGGTGGGGATGGAAGTTTTGAAGAACCGGCCATGGGAGGGTTGACGTTTTAGACTGGTAAAAGCCTCGTGGAGAAGACGGGTGGGACATGAGGGGTTGGTCCATGTGGACAGTGTGGGGAGGAAGCATTCCAGAGGCCACGGCAAGTGCAAAGGTCCGGAGGCAGGAGGGTACCTTTCCTGTTGGGGTCATCCGGGGGGCCATTCTGGCCTGACCAAAATGATCCAGAGGGAAAGCTGCCGCAGACAAGGACAGGTTAGAGGAACCTAACAGGTTAGAGGAAGGAGTTGGGTTTTTAATCTGAGTGCACAGCTTCGTGCAGAGGTCGGCAGGGCTGCCCAGGATGAGGCAGGTGCCCGGCACAGGGGGCTGGGCTGTGAGTAGCCTGTGGCAGGGACAGGGGACCAAGGTAGAAGCAGAGAGACTGGTTGAGAAGCTGTTGCAGGAATCCGAGCAGGTGCTGATGGCCTGGGCCGGGGCGTGGGTTGGGGCAGCGGTGGGTGGGAAGCATTCAGTGAGGTCGGAGTGGGTGTGGCCAAGGTGAGAGCCAAGGTGGGGCCTTTTTAGTTTCTGGGGACTCCTCAGCCCCTCGCTCTCAATCTAATGAGCGCTGGGCAGCCCCACACAAAGCCCACCTACATCCTCTTCACAGCCAAGCCTGAGAAACGGGTTACAACAGTGAGGTAGTTAAACGTGTGAGCTCCAACATCAGGCAGGTTTTCGATGAAACTGGCTCCAGATCTTTCCAGCTAGTGACCTTGGCAAAGTTAGTTTCGTTCCAAGAGCCCCTTTCACCTGTAAAATGGGATCATCGTCGGATTGGACCCACGAGAATTGACTGGGGCCCGGGGCAGACGGGCACGTAGTAGGTCCTCAGCGAATATTAGTTTTGTCACCTGGGGATAAAAAAAGGGGCAGCCCTCCTCCCCCCTTCCAGAGCCTAATTCTTTCACTTCAGCTAAAACTTCTCCATAACTTTCATCAGCATAGGAAAGGAGGGGCCAGCGTAGAATGACCGAGGGAGCAGGGGAAGAGGGTGATTCCAGAAACAGCCTGGATCCCTCGGTGCAGGAAGGAGTGTGGTTCCCTGAGCGCGGCCTGGCGTGAAGGAGAGCCCTAAGTGCTCATGCGCCGGGCACATGACAAATATACTTGCTGTGGCCTCTGGAATGCTTCCTCCCCACCACCCTGCAGCCGCTTGCCTTGAACAAGACCAAGGGAAACACGGACCCGTTTTCCCCTCACGGGCCATGCATGTAATTTGTCATCTTGTCTGATCACGGAGTGATCCCAGAGTCTGCGAGGGCTGGGCACGGTCTCCTCAATCCATGCCTGGCCAGACGGGGGCCCTGAGGACTGGGAGGGGCACCTGCGTCCCCCCTTGCAGATCGTGATGCGCATGCGCGGGAGGGACGGCTTCAGCCATGGATCTGCTGCTGCTGGGAGGAGAAGGAAACCCACTGTGACGCTCACCCCAAGATTTCACACTTTACGTCTCCTTTTTCTCTCTACATCTCTTCTCAGCTCTCCTGTCTTTGGTTTATTTTGTTTGCCTTTTGATTTCTAGGCTCTACTCTCTCCCCTATGCTAAGACACACACACACACACACACACACACACACGCACGCACGGTGATTTCTGCCTCTACTCACAGTTCTATAGGCTAAAAGTGTTCGCCTGGACAGAGGTGTTCTGGAACATCTCCAAGAAAGGAATTCTTTCTGTCTCTCTCACAGCGCCCCGCAGCTGAGACAGACTGGCAGGCCTGTGGGACACTTCTGGGTCGCAGGGACCTCCATAGGTAGGCCACTCAGGAAGGGGAGCAGGAGTACACACTCTGTTGGTGTTGTCAGGGTGGAGTCAGGCGGCTTCCGAAGAGCAGTTCAGTAGTTTAAATCCAGAAGCCTTAAAAGCGTGCCCAACGTTGGGGCGCCTGGGTGGCGCAGTCGGTTAAGCGTCCGACTTCAGCCAGGTCACGATCTCGCGGTCTGTGAGTTCAAGCCCCCGCGTCAGGCTCCGGCCTGATGGCTCAGAGCCTGGAGCCTGTTTCCGATTCTGTGTCTCCCTCTCTCTCTGCCTCTCCCCCGTTCATGCTCTGTCTCTCTCTGTCCCAAAAATAAATAAACGTTGAAAAAAAAAAAAATTAAAAAAAAAAAAAAAAGCGTGCCCAACATTTAGCACGGCAATGCCTGCATTTAAGAATACCGCCAGATGGTTTTCAAAAAAGACTACAAGGAAGCATGTTACGTACAATAATGAAAAACTAGAAATAACTGCAATGTCCAACAATAGGGGATTTGTTAAAAATAGGATACACCCATGCGATGGAATACCATATAATATTAAAGCTTCAAGTTCTAGAAGGTGCAATAACAGGGGAAAACGTTTACATCATAGCAGTCGAGTCAAAAAAAAGTAGACTATAAAAAGCCCACGTATCCTATAAGCCCAAATTTATTTTTAGTTTTAATTTAAAAAAATGTTTGAACCCACATTTATGTTTTTAAGTTTATTTATTTATTTTGAGTGAGAGAGAGAGGGAGTGTGAGTTGGGGAGGGGCAGAGAGAGAATCCAAGCAGGTTCTGCTCTGTAAGTGTAGAGCCTGATGCGGGGCTCAAACCCATCAGCTGTGAGGTTCTGACCTGAGCTGAGATCAAGAGTCAGTTGCTCAACCGACTGAGCCACCCAGGTGCCCTGGAGCCGAAATTTATTTTTAAATTTTGAATTTGGGTATGTGCACAGATTAACGATTAAAGAAATTTATCAAGATACGAAGTGTTATTTCAGCATTTGCAGTACGAGTGATGTTGGTTTTCCTCTTTGTGCTTTTTGGTATGTTGGTAGTTGAGTGTAGACTCGAGCCAGACTACCTGGATTTAGGTCCCCGGCTCTATCACATACTCGCTGTGTGGCCTTGTATAAGTTACTTAACTTCTCTGTGCCTCACTTTTCCCCTTATAAAATGGGGATGATGATGATGATAATACTGGTCTCATAAGGTTGTCGTAAGCATGAAATGAATAAATACATGTAAAGTACTTAGTATAGTGCCTGCTCAATAGTACACACTTTTTAATGGTTACCCGTTATTTTCAAAATTTGCTTTGATGAACATTGAAAACTTTTATACTCCGGGGGGAAAAGGAATAATTAGTTTGAAACGGAGGAAAGGGACCAGGAAAAGTAAATATCCCTCAAAAATCCACCCACCGTCTGCCCCCAAAGTTGATACTAAGGACAGAAATTGGATAATTATCCTTGTAATTTACAGACCAAATTCACTTTGGCCCCAATTGCCTAGAAAATTAGGGGAAAGAAATGACTTTTAATCAGATGACCTAGATGGATGTGAGTGGTCCTATTGCTTGCTGGCTGGAGGGAGGAGCTTGGGAGAAGGCTCGGGGGTCTGGGTGGGGGAGAAAATGGTAGGAGGTGGTCCGGACAGGAGAGGTCCCCTTTTGCAGCAAAGTTCTGGCTTTGTGCTGCCCGAGCTAGATCATTCAGGTCAGTGATCATTCTACAGGTGTTTTTGCAGTGCCTGCTATGGGCAACTTTAAAGGGGTTACATCTTTTGATTATCGAGACCCTGTATTCAATAATCCAGTAATGATAGCTACTAATCATTGACCACTTCCTGTTTAGGGGTGCTCTGTTCTAACAACACCAACCATGAATTTCTCATTTAGTCTTTACTAACCCTGTCGGGTCAGGGGTAATAGCATCGTCATTTTACAGACGAGGAGCCTGAGCACAGAGAGTCAACGGGCACAAGGTCAGAAAGCTTACACGTGCTGCATTTCACATCCTGGGCCACCTGCTTACAGCCACAGGGTTTAACACTGTTCCGCCAGCATTCAGCTTCCTTTGGCTCTAGAAATCAGAAGAGGCCAAGTGTCTTCAAAGAGCCCTTGTGACAGTCCTTTCCTCATGTCTCTGAGACCTGACTCCTACCTTTTTATCCTCCCTCCCCAACTTCCCATTTGTTTCATCCTGCTCTATGGAGTTGGGGAATACGTTTTTGAATAGCATGAAGACAGTTCATTTGGTGTTTGTGGTTTTCCTGAATTGTGCTCCTGCCTCGAAAGACACCAGGTGATCAGCACTTGTTTCTGTGGAGACACATATATATTTTTTTAAGTTTAAGAAATTTTTTTAACTGGAAGCGCCTGGGTGGCTCAGTCGGTTAAGCGTCTGACTTTGGCTCAGGTCATGATCTCGCGGTCCGTGAGTTCGCGCCCCGCGTCGGGCTCTGTGCTGACAGCCCAGAGCCTGGAGCCTGTTTCAGATTCTGTGTCTCCCTCTCTCTCTGACCCTCCCCCGTTCATGCTCTGTCTCTCTCTGTCTCAAAAATAAATAAACATTAAAAAAAAATTAAAAAAAATTTTTTTAACTGTGGGAAAATATGCATTAACATAAAACTTACCATCTTAACCACTTTTACGTGTACCGTTCAGTAGCATTAAGTGCCGTTCACCATGCTGGTTAGACAATCTCTGGAACTCTTTCCATCTTGAAAAAACTAAAACTCTGTGTCCATTAAACACTAACTCTCCTCTCTCCCCTCTTTCTCAGCCCCTGGCCACCACCGTCCTATTTTCTGTCTCTATGAGTCTGACTACTTTAGGGATCTCATATAAGTAGAATCATAGGTTATTTATCTTTTTGTGACTGTCTTTATTTCACGTAGGATAATGCCCTCAACGGTCATCCATATTGTCATGTGTCATGTGTCAGAATTTCCTTCCTTTTTAAGGTGGAACAATGTTCTATTGTGTGTACGTACTACAATTTGGTTATCCGTTCATCCATCAGTGGACGCTTGGGTTGCTTCTGGCTTTTGGCTGTTGTGAATAACGCGGCTACGAACACGGTTGTGCAAATCTCTTAGAGACCTCGCTCTGGACCCAGAAGTGAAATTGCTGGGTCCCATGGTAATTCTGTGTTCAGTGTTTTGAGAAACCGCCACACCGTTCTGCACGTCGGCTGTCCGGTTTTCCATTCCTTCCATTTCTTTACATCTCTCCCCATTTTACAGTTCACAAGGGCCCCATTTTCGCTGTGGAGGAGCGTTTTTAACCGCGGTGCCCTAATCCCCTCTCGTTTCTCCCGGGGCACAGGTCAGTCCATTGTGGGCTGCAAGGCCATCCTCATTGACGACCAGGTTTTCGTGGTGGTGGCCCAGCTCTTCGGCGGCTCCCACATTTACAAATACGACGAGAGCTGGACCAAGTTTGTCAAATTCCAAGACATCGAAGTCTCCCGCATTTCCAAGCCCAACGACATCGAGTTGTTTCAGATCGAGGACGAGACGTTCTTCGTCATCGCAGACAGCTCGAAAGCTGGGCTGTCCACAGTGTATAAATGGAACAGCAAAGGATTCTACTCCTACCAGTCTCTGCACGAGTGGTTCAGGGACACGGATGCGGAGTTTGTGGACATAGACGGGAAATCGCATCTGATTCTGTCCAGCCGCTCCCAGGTCCCCATCATCCTCCAGTGGAATAAAAGCTCTAAGAAGTTTGTCCCCCACAGTGATATCCCCAACATGGAGGACGTACTGGCCGTGAAAAGCTTTAGAATGCAGAATGCCCTCTACCTTTCCCTCACCCGCTTCATCGGGGACTCCAGGGTCATGAAGTGGAATAGTAAGCGGTTTGTGGAGATCCAGGCTCTTCCATCCCGGGGGGCCATGACCCTGCAGCCCTTTTCTTTTAAAGATAACCACTACCTGGCCCTGGGGAGTGACTATACGTTCTCCCAGATATATCAGTGGGATAAGGAAAAGCAGCTATTCACAAAATTTAAGGAGATTTATGTGCAAGCGCCTCGTTCCTTCACGGCTGTCTCCACCGACAGGAGAGATTTCTTTTTTGCATCCAGTTTCAAAGGGAAAACAAAGATTTTTGAACATATAGTCGTTGACTTAAGTTTGTGAAGGTGTGATTGGTGAATTTAAAAGACATGTAGCCCTGGCTCTCACAGGAGAGCGACCAAGAAGCAAATGCAAAAAGAAGCCAAGTTCAGAGCTCTGAAATTAAAACCGCACTGGGGGAATAGTTAGAAGTTTTCAAAATTTTAGAACTCACATTTTAATCAGGGATTGCATTTATTGGCTAATTGCATGACGTGTCCGTTCTCCCATTTAAAAAGACATCTTAAAGCCTGTTGTCACTGAGAAAAGAGTACAGCATTAGCTCTTAACCATCTAGGACAGTAACGTGCTTTTTTTTTTTTTTTTAATGAGGAAGGAGAAAGTTGGATAAGATGGGATAGCTCTTATAACGAAATAAACAAACAAACAAAGACCAAACTATGGGCCCTTCTCATTCCATTTTAGCAATCCTTTTGGTAAGAACTCTTAAAGCCAAAGTCAGCTGAAAAGATTTGCTGATGATTCGTTTAAAAATCTGGTAACACTCAGCAATGCTATTTTGAGCCATTTCAGTTTCCTGAATCCCCCTTAATAGCAGAACGTTGGCTATTTCATTGGCTCACGTAGACGCACATCATGGGTGTGTTAACAAAATAATGTTGGACGTTGCTTCCTTTACCACAAAGAGAATACTCTGCTGATGCATATCTAGGCCCAGCGCGGGCTGTAGGCCCATGAGTGAGACAAAGGCATTTCCCCTTTTCCTTGTGGTTCAAAGCCAGCCCCCGGGGCGGCCAGAGCAATACCGCTTGTTAGATGCTCTCCCTGACCCAGCTGCTTCCCTGAACCCATTCTTTTGAGTTTGTGGGTAACCAGCAGACAGGCCAAAGACTGAATGGTGCTTTTCATCCCATCCTTCAAAGCAATAGAACAGGTATTTCCGCCTGATGAGCATTTGGTAGAATTTCTGAAGCAAGATTTTATGGAATCAAAAGAGGACTTTTCACAAGTCTCGGTGGACTTTGAAAACCTAGAGGTGGCCCTTTGATCTGTGCATGGCTTTGCCCTCTGGGCAACTTACTCTTAGAAATCATTGAGTACCAACCTACCAGCTGCCCACCTGCCTACCTCCCTACTCATACGATGTCCCGCTTTGTTGATTTGCTAATGTTGCTGCTGCAAGTACAGCCCTCCCAGAGAGGCTGAGGCACCAGATGGCAGCACCCAGGGTGCTCATGCCGCTAATGCCCCTTCCTGTCCCGGGAGCGTAGCACAGAAAAGCCCCCTGGGGCTCAGACACTGACACGGGGGCCATGTACTGGCAGGGGCTCATCCCCAGTAGGCTGAGGGTCTCAGGCCGATCAGCAGGTACCGGCTTTGCAGCCAGACACACGGAGCCCCACACACCAGGTCTGCACCCAGGGGGCCAGAGCACCTATGTCAAAATGGGCTTCTCTGGTGTGGATTACTGGGAAGCCCATGGGCCCTGGTTTTGTGGAAGGTTCCCAGAGCATGCACTGCCCGATTAGCTTGGTTCTCTTCAGAGGATGTGAAGTGGATTTGGGGAGTGGCTCTGAAAGAGCAACTCGACCACGTCTCTTGTCGCCCTGAAATCAGCACAATCATGCTGTACTGCAGTGTTATTTTTTCACGATTGTTTGCCAAGTCACGAGTAGGTAGATGTTTCACTACAAATGTGAATGCGTTGTTGTTTCTGGTGTTTAAGCAATGCAGATGAAGGCAATAAATAGCATCGGTGTTGCAACAGCACTCCTGGGTCCATTCTGGGACTGCAGGCTGAGGGCTTTCAGCCTAGGACACCGGGGGTTTTAATGAAGGAGGTCAGCCGCACACGGCAGATTGCTGCTTGAAACTTTCCTACTAAGCACCAACCCACAGGAGAAAAGCGGTTTGTTTTCATTTTTTTTAAGTGCAAAGTCACTCTTCCGCATGCGTTCTTTTGCCTTCCTGGTTTACTCGAATTGACTACAGATGCCCCGATCCCCACATCGGAGGCCGAAAGTGGGGCAGCTCTGGCATTTCTCCGGCGGTGAGGAGGGGCAAACAATTCTTTCTGGCACATGGAACCTTCCGACAAGCCCAGGAGGAAACACAGGCACTTGGCAAACAATGTAGGGGACATTCAGACGGTCCCCGCGTTTGTGCCAGGTCGAGATGACGCTCCCGATTGCCGCCGCTTGTGGAGAAGGCAGTCGGGACACCTCTTCCCAGGGCTGCCTCTCCCGAGCAAGGCACCAGCTTCCCAGCTACGGGGCGGGGAGAGGGGCTCTTGCTGAGTCCAGGTGAGACGCTGGCAGGTCGAAGGCAGGTTGAGGGAACTGGGGGCTGGGTGAAGGCGAGAGGGTGGGCAATCCCCGCAGCCACAACCAGCTTCTCTTTTCTTTTCCTTCTGACAAAATGAGACCAGATCAGAGTCTGCAGCCTACAAGAGTCTCCGTGCTGAGGGAGTAGCTATTTGTTCTGGCCGACTTGCTGAAGGAGCATAGATGTTCTTGGCGCAAGTCGGTGGAAGCTTTGCTTCATTAATCCCACTGCTCCCTCCCAGGCATCCCTTGAGTTTTAAACAATTTCTGCAAGAAGCTTTTTTTTCCCCCAGTAATAACGTAAGACGAGAAAAACAAACCAACAACACCAGAAACCCAAAGCAGAGAGATACGTGGGACCGTCCCCTGTGAAGATCGTTGTAGGCGGGGCTGTTCTTGTCCATGCCTTCCCATCCCCCATTGGTTCCCATCTTGTCAGCTTGTTTCTTCTTTACAGTCTCTGTGGCTAGGCTGAGTCCCTCCAGGTGGCCAAGTGGCCACGCCACATAGCCTTAAAGCATGGGATCAGGAACAGATCTCTCATGAAGACTAAAAACAAGCCTTAGGCGCGAATGGCTCTGTGTCCTCGGGCAGCGGATAATAAGACCACCCTGCATTTCAGCAAAGCTTTATATGTTTTCAGTGTACATCTGTGTCCAGCTCATTTGTTTAATAAATAGTTCTTCAGCTCATTGGCGGGCAGGATGCTCATTTCAGAGGGAAGGAAGTAGGTGCAAAAATCGAAGTCAGTTGCCTGCTCAAGGTTATCCAGTAGTGAGTGGCCGAGGCGGAGGTTTCCCCCTCAACAGCAGGCTTTGTGTTTTCTTTGTGACAGTCTGACATGCCTTCCAAATAAAGACTTTTTATCGTGATTCAGAATATAGCAGCACCTTGAGATAACATTTTAAAAATATAGCAAAATATGCATAGCCAGAAGGAGAATAATGCTGAATAGACACCATTTAATCAACTGGTCCATTTAACAATTCAATGCTACGGAACTGCTATTACATGCAAGGCCCCACTCTTGAAAGTCTTCCAGAAGTTTCCGATAATTGTCCCTTCTAAAGAGGGTTTCTAGCTGGCACGGCTGCTTCTCTACCCTCTCTTCCCCTCCCTCCACAGCTCCGGTGGGGATGTTGAGGTCGAGACACATTTGGTTCTTGTCACAATGTCCACAAGATACACAAGAAGAATTCTATGAGGGAAAAACTAAAAACTCAAAGGCACGAGTGATGATGAATTGCTCCGGGTCATAATCAGCCTTCGGGGAGCATGCTGGAAATGCCGGTGTTGCATTTTTCTTCCCCGTGGAGTGAGAGGCTGTGTATTTTTAGGAAAGAAATCAGCGTGGGATGCTGGAGGTTTGGTTGCCAGGAACACTCACGATGGAAATTTCTCTGACCGGGGGTAGAATGAAAGAGAGATGAAGGTCTGCAGGAGGGGAGTCTATTTGCATATGCCGTTAGCAGGCTTCCTGATTCTTCTACAGAGGTATCAGCCTCTCACTCGTAGTTTTGGAAGAGAGTTCTTTCATTAGGCACTGGCCAAAGATTCTGTTAAAGAGAGAGCCCTGGAGTGGAGTGCGGAAGTCTAATTGTGGACGCAGTGAGTAAGGTGGTCCGGACTTGGGACAATCTAAAGGGAATGGGCAGAAAAGCAGGGCAGATGGCTGTGGAGGAAACTCTTTGGGGAAAGTAGAAGTAAGATGGAAGGAAAAAGGTCATCACGATTTTCTTTGCCTCAGCCAGGCAAGTAGAGGGTGGGACTACCAGGCAAATTAACAGGCAATTTTTAATGAAGAGAGCCAGTTGTAATGCTAATCGAAATAAGAATTGAATTGTAAAGCTACTGAGATCTAAACCTAGCGAGGCACTCTTATCCTTACCTTCTTCCATTACTTGTTTCAGAATCTACCTTTTTTTCCGGTAGGAGACTATGCATTCCCAATCAATCCCTTTGACTATCAGGAATGTATAAGAACTGTGATAAAATAAGCCAATATGCCATTCGGTACCATTTTTATGTATCTTAGATGCATAACTTAGGTAAAATAAGAATAGTTTATATGTATATGAAAGCATATTTTGCAGTATGCAAGCTACAATGGATGCATTTTAAGGCTAAATATATATTTAACTCTTTTTGGTAAATATAGTTAACAAACAACATGCCTCCTAAGTCGATATATTCTGTAAGTCTATGAATAAAAAGTAGCTCATGCCTAATATGGCTTTGATCTCTGGTCTGCTTGAATATGGATATGCCCACTTGAGTCACAGATTTGAGGGCATGATGGGCTATTGTGGAAGGGTGGAGCATGCCCATTTTATCTTTGTGGCTTACTCCCTGTTTAAATGGAAGATGGGTACTGCAGGGGGACTTTTGCTTCTACTTGCAAACTAAAAAGTCACTACAGAGTCACTGAAGGACTTCACAGCTACACCTCTGCCTGATCTGCACGATCATAATCTTGACGGATTGACAAAGAACTCTGGGGATCTTTGGGCATCCTCTGATTCTGCATGGTGACAAGATGGGATCCCATTGATTGGGTGGAACCATGAACAAATTGAGGGCAAGACTTTTGTCTTGTTTTCTGCATGTCTGGGCTCTAACCCGGTACACAGCAAGTGAGCAGTGAAAGTTTGCCTCATGTGTCTGTGTCTTTAGACCCATTTGGTTTCATTGGACAAATGAAGGGTCAAAACCTCAAATCACGTATGACTGTGTACTTAT